AAAGAGAACTTACATAAAGAAAGGCTGTCAATAAATCCACATTGGATTATTAGGACAATAAAATTAGTGTAAGCATAAGAGAATAAAAAAATACAAGATTACATCACCACAAAGGTTCCCATACTTTTCTTATTGCAAAGTCCCTTTCAGATCTCCCAGCTGCATATGCATCTCATTCCAGATCTACCAGATGCCCACATACCCCTACCTTTCTTGTGTACCCTCAGAGATACATGTACCACAGTTTGGGGACCTCCTGCATTACAGATTTTAAATGTGCATCTAGAGTTATAGCAAACAGTGGCATTAAGAAAGCCCCTCTCTACAGATGTATTCAAGATTGTTAAGGAGGCTCCATTAGTTTTTGGTGGTGTTCTGCTTGCTTATGGAACATCTTTGCAATAAATTGGGTACTATCACCAAAATGGAAGGAAGAAATACATTAGACTCTTCGATAAAAGCTAAACCTCTTTGCATTTTCCTGCCCTCAAGAATCTAGTTATTTTCTCACAAGCAACAGATTCTGGCATGGAGGCTATAGGGAAGAATGGGTTTAGCAGAACACAGTGCTAGCTGTAGCAGAAGGAGCTATGTTTATAGCATTGGGCCCTGGGATCTAGTAATTAGACAGTGCTAGAGGGAAGCATCAGTAACCAGATTTAAATGTCCCCTTCTTCCCTTCCAGCTAGGTCAATCATGGAGACCACAGCAAAGAAGCATCTCTGGTGGGAACAGGGTTTAAAATGATGAAAGATGAGCAAGGGCAGCCCTGGATAGCAGGAGAGAGGAGTTAATGGCTTCATCCTTATGACATCAATCACTGCGATTGCATAAGCTTAAAGTTACATGCTTGGCTTTTTAAAAACTGTCTCTAAAAGTTTGTTTTCAGTCACCCACATCCACCAGAGCCTCAGCCCTGCAATGAGCTGGCTAGACTCCCCTGCCCAGCAGGATCCCCACTGAAGTCATTGGGGTGGGGGGGGAGGTTGCAGCCTCATTACAGGATCAGGACCCAAGTTACAGAGTTGTATATTATAGGATGTGAAAGAAGCACTTTATAAAGGAAATGCAGAGTTATTTTTAACTACAACAGATAACAGACAAGTAGCTAACAGGCTACATAACGAGCCACACCTTGAATACAATGTATGTGTATCAGTGTCTCCTAATTAAAGATCTGAAGTCTGTAAAGGGTCCCACATAATTTCATTTTGCAGTAAAAGTATATAAATCATTACAAGGTAGTTATTGGGCTCCTCCCTCCCCCATTAATAGAAAGATTCAGTAAAGTACAAGAGAAATCATGAAGTCTTTGTTGTCTTAAGAATGTCACAAGTGACAATTTACAAGGGAAGTGCTGAAAGATCAAAGAACGAAGCCCATTTCCAAATCTACAGGTTGGGAATAGGTCTATTATCTCCCAATATGAGCTCTTTCCTGGGTTTGCTTTCAATATACATTGATATAATGTCTGTTCTCATGGGAAAGCTGACCTGGAAAAGGTAGCCAGTAGGTCCAAGCCGTACCTTCAGTTACAACAGGAAAATGGGGCTTTAGGCACACCCTCATGTAGGTCTGCCCTCTCCCCCACACATGCCTATCTCCCACACCTTTGTGGCTCTGCCCCTGCTTGCACAATGGCATTTTGGCCTATTACTGGAATTAATAATAGTGACAAGGGTAAATCTGCATAGCTAGTAGAGAAGTGGGGCCTCGCCCATCTGGAGATGTCAGGCAAATTAGTGTCCATCCCAGTGGAAGATTCAGCCCCACCCCTTGACAAGAACATAATGAGATGAGATGGTGGCAGCAAGACTCCTTCCATATGCAGTCATCTCTTGGGCTGGCCCTAGTGCCCCACCTCTTGAGTAGCAGTTAAAAATTAACAACCCATTTAGATGAATAGGGCAATTAGAACCTCTCTGAACAACTGTTTCATATTCTTCACAGATTCAGGTAGAAAGTCTTTTAATCTGCCAAAATCTGTTTAAACAGGGAAGTTATTTCAGAATAAGGTAGGATGTGAATTTAAAGTATTCTAGTTATTCCAAAATAGCACTTTGTATGGACACTATCATTCTGGAATCAATGGACCTGCATTAGTGTAGGGGGGAGGCAGAATTTATGTGCTAAAGATTTTAACAGAATTTAGATCTTTAAGAAGTGTGTTGTGCCTATGAAAGCTCATGATACCATCTACATGTTTTGTTAGTCTTGAAGGAGCTGCTGGACCATTTGTTGTTTTCTAAATTTTTCCAGTTACAGACTCAGGCTAGGTCTACACTATAGCGTTTTTTTTTTTTGTTTTGTTTTTTAAAGCTACCGCAATTTGCATAGCTTTTTCCCATTGCTTTTTTGGAAGGGGCTTTTCCACCATTTGGCTCCGTCTAGACGGGGCCAAATGGCAAAAAAGTCTTCTCTTTTGGAGGAGCCCTTATTCCTTGTAGAATAAGGTATACAGGGCTCCCCGAAAGAGCACATTTGCTCTTCCTCAAAAAAAAAAAAAAGCGGAAGAGCATACACATTCCCTGGACACAGTGGAGTTTTTCTGGTATCCCAGAAAAACCCCGCAGTCTAGACATACCTTAACTCAGCTACCCCTCTGAAGCTTTTACTTTATATCATTGGTAGGAGTCTTTATGTAACTTCACTGAGGAAACTGACGTTCAGTTTTTAAATTATGTCTTGGTGATGGTGTGACAAATCAGAGATGTAAAGAACAAAAGGGACCATTGTGATAATTTAGTCTGACCTCCTGTATAGCAGACACAATAGAAAACCTCAAAAAATTCCTATAATGTATCTTTTAGGAAAAAAAATCCAGTCTTGATTTAACAGTTGTCAGAGTTGGAGAATTCAAATGGGGAACAGATGCAGAGGTCTATTGGGATGATCAGAGAAATGGAAAACCTACCTTACAAAAGGAGACTGAAGGATCTTGGCTTGTTCTGCCTAATAAAACAAAGGCTGAGAGGAGATATGAATGGTCTTTATAAATTAGGGTTCTCAACCTGTGGCCTATTAGCACATAGCCCATGTGGCAGGGCCCAAACTGTCTTTCCCATAGTGAGGGTCTGGGGTCAGGGTTGCTGGCTGGCCTTGCTGCAGGGGCCTGGGGCTGCTGGCCAACCCGTTTGGGTCCAGGGTCATCAGCTAGCAATGTTCCGTCAAATTTTTTCCATCCATGGAATTTTTTATTCCATGTGTGGAATAAATGTTGTTACATATACCAAGGCATGCGTGGATGTGCACCATGAGTAGAAATACATGCTGCTGGCTATGGGCACTCTGCCAATCTGCTGGTAGCTTCTGAATCTCTCCTGGGTAGCCACTCAAGAGCCCAGCTTACAGGTAACAATGCCCACAGGCACTGCAGGGTCAGGGACAGTATTGGGGCTGCTGGTGAGCCCCCCAGGGTCTGAAATTGGTAGCCAGTCCTATGGGCTTGAGGGCTGCCACCTTGCCCCCCAGGGTCCAGGTTTTGTCCCCACATGATCTAAGGTTAGCTCCTGGTCCCATGGGATGGAACTACTGCCTGGCCCCACCAGATTGAGGGTCTGGAGCTGCTAGCTGGCCCCATGAGATACAGAGTCTGGGGCTGTCAGCTAGCCTCACAGGGTCAGGACTCAGAGTCAGCACTGGGAATGTTGCCTGGTCCTGTATGGCAGGGTCCAGGGTCCTGCCACCCAAATGGCATTGCCTCTCACACCCCTGAATGTCCCTCTGCACCCCCCCTAGAGGAGCACACCCCAGAGTGTGCAAACTTCTGGTATACGCTCAGGGAGTGAGCAGAAGAGCTAGGTGGCTCAGGCCAGCCCCAAGGGTAGGGGAAGACAGGAGAGGCTGAGGCCAGCACTACTGGGGTGCTCAGGGAGGGGGCACCAACCCCACCCCAACTCACTCATTAAGTACACTGTAATTTAAATACCACTAGTAATAAGGAAATCTGGAAGTCAGACCTGTGTCTATTATTAATAGTATTAACCCTTCTGCCCCAATCAGAGAAGTCAAATTATGCCTGTGCCCTCTGGTTCTAAAGCCTATGAGTCCATGAGAATCCACCACAATGCTTGGTAAATTGTTCCAATGGCTAATTTCCCTCACAATTCAAAATGTATGCCTTATCTCTAGTCTTCATTTGCCTGGCTTCAACTTCCAGCCATTGTTATACCTTTCCCTGCTAGACCTTAGAGCCCATTATTAAATATTTGTTCCCCATGTAAGTACTTACAGGCTGTTATCAAGTCACTCCTTAATCTTCTCTTTGGCAAGGTAAATAGACTGAGCTCCAGTCTAATCACTATAAAGGCATGTTTTCTATTTTAATCATTTTTGGGGTTCTTTTCTGTCCCTTCTCTATCAACATCTGTCTTGAATTGTGGGCACCAGAACTGAACACAGTATTTTAGCTGTGGTCTAAATGCCAAATACTGAGGTGAAATTACCTCTGAGGTTCCCCTACTTATACATCTTAGAATTGCATTAGCTTTTCTGGCCATAGTATCTCAGTAGGAATTCATGTTCAGCTGATTATCCACCACAACTCTCAAATCCTATTCAAACTTAAAATCCCCACTGTGGGCATGGCCCAAACTGTGGCAGGTTCAGGAAGGAACACATGTCCACAGAGACCCATCACCGGCTTCACAATCAAGAAGGGTCACCTCTGCTTTAACAGGTAAAGTATGTTGCTCCACAATAGGGCAGTGACAATCCATTCACAAGCCCCCAAGACCTGAGAGCTATTTTACTCCAGGAGTACCCTTCCCAAGGTAGGACAGCAAAGGCATGTACTGTCTAGTGCAGTGGTCCCCAACCTTTCGGGGTTGCTGGCCACCTGGGGGAGGGGCTGCTCACACGCCAGGCATCCGGGGGCGGGGCCGCTCATGTGCTGCATGTCCAGGGGTAGTGCCACCCATGCGCCGCATGCCCAGGGCCGGCATTGCACATGTGCCACGTGCCCAGGGCAGGGGTCGCCCATGCGCTGCGCACGGGGGCTGGCCCAGATAATTCGGTGTTGCACATAAATGCCCCAGCGGGTGCCATGGCGCCCGTGGGCACCACATTGGGGACCACTGGTCTAGTGAACCAAGTGGAGACTTCTGGCTATAGACATTTACTACAAGCACAAATTAACCACCACCTACTGGAAGAACACAAAGCCAAGTGTTGGGTGGGTTTTGTGATGACTCCCTTCCTCCCGCTCCCCTCCCAACAACCATCAGGTGACTGGACCTTTGGTCACTACTTTTGATGGATTAAAGTCAGTTTCTTTCAAACGCACGTCATGATAAAGGAGAAAAATCCAGGACGTCGCGATATAAAGGAATGGACTCCAATAAATAATGCTTTGCATCGTCCATCTATCGTTTTGCATAGGGCCAGCCGCCTACATGTGCAAGTCGGAACCGGGAAATTTCCGATTTCTGAATCAGCTGGCTTGGTTTCAAATAGTTTCTCTTGTTAAGATGCAATCGGTTTCCGGCACGCTCGGGCTGCGCACATAGCAAGGGCTGTTGTTTCAAAAAGCCAGTTGTTTTTAACCAATGGAAACAGATTTCTCCCCCAGCCGATCCCGGGGCGTAGAGAAGAAAGGGTGGCCTGGCATCCCACATGTCTCAGGACTGGCTTACGGGGCGCCCCATCGCTCCCGCCCACAAATCCTGTTGCTAGCAGCGGATACCGCTGCAGATCCCAAGGGTGGCACGAAGCTTGCAGGGGGGTCGGGACGAGTTCACACTTCTCTTGACTCAGTCTCTGACCTAAGGAAGGGACTCCCAGGTCTGCCCCCACTCCCAGCCCCTCAGGGCATCCTACAGAGAGCGGCTGGCCCGGCAGCCTTTGATCCTCGCAGACCAGCCCCAGCCCGCCTGCCTGTGCGCTCCCAGTATAAAGGGCAGGGCGGCAGGGCAGCCGCTCGGAGCACGCGGGTCTCTCCAGTGGCAGCAGCCGCGGCTCGCCCGCCCCATGGATCTCTACCTCACCCAAAGCGCTGCCCGCGTGGGCAGCCTCGCCCGGCCGGAGGCTCCCGCCCTCAGCGCCTTCGCCGCAGGTAGGTGCCAGCGCTGCGCCCCAGCTCTGGCGTGGGCGAGGCCGCGTGGCTGACTGCGCCCTTCTCTTTGCAGACAGGAGCGAAGCGGCCGGAGGTGGCTGCCCGGCCCAGTCCCAGGAGGAGCTCAGCCCGCCCGCCTCGGCTCCCGGCGCCGCCGCCTTGCCTTGCCCGCTCCCGCCGGACACGGCGCCGCCCCTCTCCCAGCGCAGGAAAAGGACCAACTTCACCGCGGCTCAGCTGGCGACGCTGGAGCTGGTCTTCAAGGACACCATGTACCCCGATATCTACCTGCGGGAGAGGCTGGCCGACGTGACCCACATCCCGGAGTCCAGGATCCAGGTGAGCGGGAGGCCGTGGCCCGGCGTCCTGGGGCACAGCCGGGGTCTGGGCCGCTGCTCCGGGCTCAGCCTGTAACGCAGTCGCTCCGCTGAGACAGCCGGGCTGGCTTAGTCCCGCAGAGAACCAGCCCGCGAGCAGGGAGCGGCCTGGCCAGGGGCCCGCCC